ACAAGATAGGAAAGAATGTCCTAATAGATTCATATTATTAGTTTGGATTTCAAGACCAACCAATAAAAGGATGGAGAGAGAAACGCTGAATAAGCTTAGTGTTCATCACCAGCAGTGGAAGAGAGGTGTTCTTTGACATATATTTGATCCAAACTGTGAAGCTGCCAAGGGTTTTCTGGGTTTTATTCACTGGAGAATAATCAAAGAACAATAAAAAACATCAGGAGAAAAATGCTACTAAAGTAATTTTGTATTTCAGATGGGAGTTTAAATATTTTTAGGATCTAAGTTAAACCACTGAACATGTGGATTTATCTAAAATTTAAAGTGCTGGGAAACCTTCTAAGTATACAATGACAGCGGCATGATCAGATGCTCTTATAAGTGATCAAATGATCAAACTGACCTAAATGACAAAGAGGTTATATAAAATATTGCATTTCACTTAATCCAGGGCTTTAGTAGTGTTTGGGAACTTGAAGAGCCCTTTACACAACGAAATGGCCCACTTGTTGAGTAAGGAAACATGGACTAGATACATGGATAGTAAGTCAGTTTCAAAAATGTCTGAACTGGTTAGCTCAAAGGATTGTTATCAGCAGCACAAAGTCCAACTGGAGGCCAGTCACTAATGGATATCCCAGGATATCAATACATGGCCAATATGGATGAATAACATTATTAATGGCCCGGACAATGAGACCCAGTGGACAATTCACAAGTTTGCAATGATATTAAGCTGGGACAAGTGGTTGCTAGATCAGGTTTTGCTGACATCCAGAGGGACTTTTGACAGACTTGAGAAGGGCTGACAGAACTTCACAAAGTTCAAGAAAGAAAAGAAAGTCCTCTGCCTGGAGTGGAATAACCTCATGCACCAGGACAGCCTGGGGACCCAAGACTATCCAGGGAGCAACTGTCTGGGGAGCAACTTGACAGAAAAATACCTGGAGGTTCTCTGTCTCCATGTTGACCATGAGGCAGAAATGTACCTTGGTAGCAAAGGAGGCTAACAGCCTCTTTGGGATGCATCGGGAAGAGAGCTGCCAACAAGTCAAGGGAGGCAATCTTTTCCCTGCATTGGTGACTATATCTGGAGTAATGGCTCCAGTCCTGAACTCCCTAGTACAAGAGAGAGAAATTCAGGAGTGAGCCCAGTGAAGGACCAAAAAGATGACTGGTAAAATGAGTGGAGTACCTGTCATATGAGAAGAGGCTAAGAGAGCTGTGATTTTTTTAGCCTGTAAAAGAGAAGGCTCAGGGAGATATCACCAACCTGTGTAAAAACCTGCAAAGTAAAGAAGATGGAGCCTCTGTGGTGCCTAGTGACAGGACAAGAGGCAATGTGCACAAACTCAAACACATGAAATTCCATTTTAATATAGGAAAAAATGCCTTTACTTTGAGGGTGACTGAACACTCAGGAACAGGTTGTTAAAAGAGACACCACCATTGCAGGTATTCAAACCCAATTGGGCATGATGTTCAGCAACTTGTGGTAGCTGACTGTGCTCTGAGCAGGGGTGCTGGACTCCTTGATCTCCAGAGGTGCCCGTCCAACCTCATCTGCCTTGGATTAACTTGGTAAAGGTATTCAAGACCTTTTCCAGTAATGGTGGACACTACCATAATTGTCTATCAAACTTGACAGGCAATAAAGCTTCTGCTGAATTTGCAAATAGGTATGGGAGATAGGGGGAGCCAAAAAGCCCCTCAGTACTACTGGTATTGCTTATAGTATGTGGACTCATAATGCAGTCAGCCCAATAACCAAAATCTTTGCTGAGAAATATGCATACATGTGGCACACAGGCACACACATAGTTTGCACTATCTGCTATAAAACCTACTGCACAGAAGAAATAATACATTTCAGTCTCTTTTCAGAGATGAGTTCCTTTGTGGGTAAATAAATTAATATGAATTTTGAGATTGACCAGAAGGCAGATCTGTTGTTGGACCACATTTAAAAAAACACAGACAGTATTCTAGACCCACCAAACATGGGCTTTTTTCTAAGGAAACTCATTGTTCTCATGGAGTAGTGGAAGCAGTCCTCTTGAAATTCCCAGCCTGAACAATGAAAAGCTTTGAAAGTAAGGATCAAAGTCTCAAGCTCTGCAATTTTCAAAGCAAGGCAGAGAGAGCAGGTGATATAAAACAGTCAGGATGCTCTTTAAAACAGTAAGGGTGCTCTTTTTGACAGCTACTGTTACTGAACTGTGTTGCCACATTCTACACAATTTTTATTGTGTGCCCAAAAGATAGGGAAAGCTATGCTTTGGTAAACTACCAACAGGGGATCTTCTGATCTTCTATTCATTTGGAATTTATCACACATTTCAACTTATTAGATGCTTGGAAAAGTAATTCAGGAGTATTGCACTAACAATAATCCAGTTTACTACTCTACAACTTCTTCACAACATAAGAAATGAGGAGCTTTTCTTTACAAATGGGACATCTGATAGACAAACAAAAAATATTTCGAAGTCCCTTCAAAGTGGATAGCTTTAAGAAAAACAGTCTATAACTCACAGTTGGTCAATAGTTAGAGTGAATGAGGTAACCGTTCTTTCAATGAAAACTTAGAAACTAGTTCTTGCGAGAAATGACAGCTCACTAGACTGTTCCTATTAACTACAGTCAGTTTGCCATTGCTATGGTCCTGTGAAATCACACAAACCCATGCTTGGAGCTGTAACTGGAGTAAATGGACAAGATAGTCCTATTCTCAGTAAGACAGTGATTTCAGAAAGAAAAACAGATTTCAGAAAGAAATCCTTTTTCTGTCCCTACATGTACACTGCCACATACACTTGCAGTGACAGGTAAGGGACAAATATGCTGCAAATCTTGCGTAGTTTGAGGTTGCTTAGCAAAAAATAAGCACTTTCTTTCTCAAACTATAGATTAACATTAGAATATACGTTAAAAATTAAGTGCATGCATGCTTCTATACGTAATAGACAGTAAAATGTCAAGTAAAATATATTCTTTCATTCTTTGTACAAGTATAGCAGATCTTTGACACTATATTTGGAAGAGCATAATACAGTACTTGTGGTGCCTTTAAGAAGAACAGTCACTGTCAGAAAGAGTGGAGTCCTGACACTTGGAGGAAAACAAAAACTTTCTTCATTATTCAAGATTAAATATACCACCGTAAAGGAAAGGAATGTTATGCCTCTATTAGCCAACTCTCACACTTAAGAGTTCTACAGGATTTATTATCTGGTATTGCATGGTTCTGTATTAATATACATATATACAAGCACATCATGGCTGTGAGCAACGGATTTGCACAGTAAAAGAATATCTGAAAACTCTTTGAATAAAGTTCTTCTGTTGTAAATTTGAAGCCATATTGGGAGCGGCTTGGTTTGTTCAGCCTGGAGAAGAGGAAACTGAGGAGCCCTCATTGCAGTCACAACTTCCTTCTGAGGGGAAGAGGAGGGGCAGGCACTGATCTCTTTTCTGTAGTGACCAGTGATAGGACCCCAGGGAATGGCCTGAAATTGTGTCAGGGGAGGTTTAGGTTGGATATTAGGAAAAGAGAGTGGTTGGGTGCTGGAACAGGCTCCCCAGGGAAGTGGTCACAGCACCAAGCCTGACAGAGTTCAAGCATTTGGACAATACTCTCAGGCACATGGTGTGACTCCTGGGGATGGTCCTGTGCAGGGCTAGGAGTTGGACTTGATGATCCTTGTGGGTCCCTTCCAACTCAGAATATTCTATGATTCTAGGGTACTTGAAAACAAGGGTAGTTGGAAGATTTGTTCATTTTAAGTGGTATATCATTTATGCAAATATTGTTTTCCATCCAAAATGGAATTTCAGTAGTAGTCCTGAGGCTCTAAAAATCAAATCGTACATTTGACATATTAGAAGAAATTATAGGTTCCATAATGCATAATATTATTTTTCTAATGTATCACTGGCCCATAATAAGAAACAATCTATTACATAGATTTTGCATTCAATCTTTTTGTCAAAAACTACATAGCACATCAAAAGTTAATAGCACCAGGGAGTTCTGTGATTAATACGAAAACAAATGGTATATTTCAAAATTTCTTTTGTTCTTCATTCACAATGATGAAACTGCTAGGATTTAACCTTTAAGGGTTAAAGAGTTTAATCAATGTCAATGTCTGATCTTCTGAAGGCAATAAAGAACAGTCTGTCTAGTGATACTCAACAGAACATCACTTTGTCAAGCCACAAAGCACCCAAAAGCTTGTCAAGTAAGTTACCAGAAACCTCTTTGTGGTTAGAACTCAGCTCCTTCCTGCTTGACCTATTATTTGATATTTGACCACTTGGTTGCAAGACACTTGCTCTTTCCAGCTGAAATGTCACTGGGGCATCTTGTCAGCTCCCCGACATCTCGGCCTGACATACAATTTTACTTTTGTGTGCTACAAGGCAGAAAATGCAGGGCAATGGCCTTGTTTTAAATTCTGTCAGCATCAAAGATGGGCGTCACTCTTGGGTCCTACCAACAACAACAAAAAAGGAGTCTATTTGAAGGTCAAAACAGCCATTACTTTAAAGTCTTTCAGTTTAAACTAAATATATTAACTGCAACACTGGTTTGGGAACTGTCCTTATAAAGTATATAAACATATCATCAGAAATCCTCCCTCCACAATTGTTCTTCTTTCTTATGAAATGCACACTTGATGAAAGGGTGAGTTTTCAGTGCCTGCAGGGACCAGATTCAGTGGTTAACTTAACTTGTTCAAATAGGCAAGTGGTATCATGTAGCTTTACAAGGAGCAACCTGACCTTCTCACATTGACCAGCAGTGACATTATTGTGCAGGAAGAGAAGCAGTCACATCATTTCTGTTTTGCACAACCTGCTTAAAGTTTGCAACTAAATGCTTGTCTTCAGTTGAGCTGACAAGAGAAAAGAGGGGGCTCAGTGAACCATGGCAGGGCTGCCATGAAATGACAGGAATCATTGGCATACATTTCAAATAGCTCTCTCAATCCTATTAAAGTATTGCAGTCCTGCTTTAAAATAGACAAGTATGAAACAACTTTGATAGATAGAGACTAAAATGGCTTATTGATTTATTTTTTTTTTAAGTCTGAGGAAAATTACCCAAAATGTGTCATTCTTTAACATTTAAAAATATACTACATAAAAAATGAACAACCGCAATATATAAAAGTTTAAACAATAACTGCTCCAGTATGCAAAGAATGAAAAGCACAGAAATGTGAACATACAAGTGCACATTTTCATAGAAATGTAAAATTTATATTAAAAAATACATACAGTTAATTACAATTCAAAGGTAACAACAAAATTACACTTTAATTGCATGATTTTACATTAATACAATTTTCCCCTTCTAAAAGACTATTGATACTAAGAATCTGAAAATCCATTTTCCATTGTTCTTCTGGGATTGGATGTGATTCCAGGCTTAAGAAACAGATTTAAGACAGAGAACTGTCTCTGTTCTGCGCAACACTGTAGGTTATGTCAGGTTCAGCTTGCAATGCCAAAAAATCTGGGACAGAACTCTGATCAGACTGAATTTCTCGCTTGGACCCACATTGAGGTCTGAACTCCCTCTTGTTTCCTGGAATAAAAAATGAAGAATAAAAAACAACAACAAAAAAAGGAGAATATACATTTACTGTTAAATACCTTTCACAAAGGTATGTATATGAAGTATCTGCAAGTGTTTGCTTCTTGTTTTAAACACTTATTTAAAATACATGGTACCTGACTACCTACAGTTATCTTTAATAAAAAGAAACAAAGGACATTATCTCAAGTATTCTGCACTAGTGTTAGAAGACAATAGCCTTCTTTATTTGAAGTGCTACAAATACTTACAGAGAACTTTTATACCCCTCCATTATAATTTCCAGGTGTTTTTTTTAATCAAATAAACAAACTTATTCTACAGTCTCCCTGTCACTGTTATTAGAAACACACCATGCTAACCATGGAAGGTATTAAATTACTTTTAAATATACTTTACCATCAATTGAAATCAAACACTTAATACTCCTCAAATGTTAGCCTGTTAGATGATGGCCAGAGAATATTCACTGACTGTAAGTTGATGGGAACATGATTCATATTTCAATGAGTCTCAACATTCAGTCAAACAGATATAAAGGTTAGACTAGTTAAAATTCAACACTGAAGAGCTTCCAGCACCAAAATATTAGGCGTCCTACTTTGAAAGATTATGGATAATATCAGTATATCAGCATTAATAATTAAGAAAAAAAATTCTAAAGGAAGGCATTCTATATTCCCTTAACCAAACTTAAGAAAACACGATGCCATATTGCTCTTCTGCCCTTCACCAATGCACTGTATAGTTGTGAAAATAACAATCATTTCATCAGGTCATAAAACGTGAAAACATTGCAAAGTGTAAAGATGGCAAAAAAAGTTAACATACTGAACGACAGTTATATTTGAGGTTTAAAACAGTCAGCATTTAAGGAAGAGTATACATGCATATATAAACACAGATGGACATACACAGAGGCAGAAACACACATATACAGACACACGGATTCCAATACACAAAGATATCCAGAGAGAGGCTGAAGGGTGTGTGTATATTCATATTTCACCAAATCCAGTCTCAATCATACATTTAAAGATTCCTCTTTCCTCTGTTACTATTGCTGGAGAAAAATCAGTTGTTGCCTCTAACACCTACCTCAACAGTTCACTTTGATATGGACTCTTTTGATTTCCTGATTCACCACTAGCTATATTGCAGCTACTGTAAACAAATAGTTATGTTAGACCTTCATTAAGAACCCATACAGTAGCAAATGTAGATGACTGTTTCGAGTAGATAGTTAAAATGAGGTAGTGCCTTGGGTTTTTCTACATGATGGAGGCGATGAGGATGAGATAACCAGCAGGATGAGCAACTAAGATCTGTAACACTCTTTTCAGTCCTTCTGGGCTTGACTCTCTGCAGCGTGAGAACCAAAGCACAAATGAGATTTACTGCATTTGTACCAGCAGATGTGAAATGAGATCTCAGTGAAGGCTATCACACCAATTAACAGTTTGTTATTTGTACACTTTAATCAGCTGGCCACATGGACAAAATCCTCTCTAAAGTAAGAATAATTAATTTTAAAAATTGTTAGAATGTTGAAATATGCAAGTAACTTGTGATGTTCTAAAATCATTTCTTCATGTAAAAAAAATGAAATTAAAAAGATATAAGCTGCAAACAGGTCTCACTCTGGATAACACATATTGAAGAAAAATTTAAACGTATTGGTTTGTATTGCTTTCAACACCTCAATTAAACAGCACGCCACAAAGAGTAAAAAATCACATGTTTTGACTACATTCTCATATTACTCTTTTTCAAGCTGTAGTGAGGGGATTTTTTAAGAATATGGTATCAAAATCCCAATACGGAGATAAGAAATCAGATTTCTTTTGAGAGTTGCAAAAAAACCGTATGAAACTTACTGATTGGCAGCAAGTCAATAGAGTATGTTATAGTAAAAGCTTCACTGTTAGGGAAAAAAAAGCTCTGGTTTAGTTATCCAGATCCTCTGCTGTACTTCTTACAAAGAGCAGAATGCTAGTCATTGAGTAGAAGCAAAATCAGATCTAATAGCAATGTGATTGATGTAAAAAAAAATCTTGGCTGCTTCTCATAAGAACTATTTTGATCCAATCTCATTATATGCCCTCATGATGAATAAGAAAATAGAATTTTATAGGTTAGAAGAAAAAATACTCAGAACTGTTATAACACTCATTGTTTGAACACATACCTTCACACAGGAATTTTAAAGGCAGTTATAGTCTCCCCAATAGACCTCTTTAAACGTTATTGTACTTAGGTATCTTTGTAAAACATGTATTAAATTGACAAACTCAAATGACTATGCCACAGCTCTGATATTAATCCATCATGTAACTATGCATTTACGTAATTTTAGAAAGAGGAATTATGTATCTTAAATAAAGTGTCTGTTCAGGCAAATCTTTAGCACAGTACTTTTATTTACCAGATAAGGTGTACATGATTCAATCTGAACTGTAACACTTCACTAGGTAAACAGATATTTAGGACATATATGTCTAGCAAAAATAAGCTTTCAAAATATTTATGTTTTGAAAGTAATTAGTCATGTCCTATGTGCATTTTTCAAAAGCCTGACTTTATAAAACACATTTTCCCAAAGACCAAAATATGAAAAGTTAGTCTATATTATGGAATAATTACTTTCTAAACCACAGTTTATTCTGATGCTTTTAAAATATATTGGCCAAAGTCCATACACAGCCTATACAGTAAGTCTTTGTACCAGATATTTCATTGGAATATACAAGGAAGTCTCTTATTTTCAGATCAAATTCTCTGCACTGCACTAATATTAGCAAACTGTTAGACAAACAATGTAGTGCTCTTTTTTACATGGTAAAATGATCAGTTTGTTTTGATTTCAATAAGAATTTCCAAATCTTTTGTACTTTTTGCCCATGCCACCTACCACTGTCTTTCCACTTGTCTAAGAATGGAAGCAAACTTTTATTTATTTATTTTGAACCTGAGTAGATAACCCAAATGATTATTGTTTTATTTTGTGCTGCATGCTGCAAACAACATGGAAAGGTACACTGTACACTTACTATTGTGACAGCACGCCATGTTTTGCAGCAGTGTATAAGATTGTTGCTATCTTTAACTGATGCTTCTCTTGCTTCCAAGAAAGGCTTTCCTATTATGTGAGTTTTCCCACAGCTTTTCATTGCCTCAGATGAGCCTCTCTCTCTCTCGTGTTCCCTTTCAGCTCTTAGCTTCTTTCTAGCAGGAAGGGGAGAAGAGGAGTACAACCAGAGACTAAAAAACTCATGACACCATACTAAGGCACCAGCTCATGAAGTAGTCCCCCCCATTGCCCTTTATTTTGCCAGTGCTGGTGGGAAAATAGTCCCTATCCAACCAGTTAATGTGTCAAACTTCATATTCTCTTGAGAAATGTATTCAGCCATCAGCCAAATTCCTAAACAGTGTGACTATCTGACGTAAGCCTTCAAAGTTTCATCTGAGTTGCAAGTATACTGCTGCTCTAGCAGAAAAAGGAAAAAAGTATATTTACATTCATTTTGCCAAACATTAGCATCTTCTGTCCAATCATTTGAATGCAGAAGTGTTAGGAGAAAACAGCTTAGAGAACAAGGCTTGACACATACACTGTGAAATCTTAAGGTGCTTGAATGCAATGAGGGAGAAAGTGAGACAGAACCACATTTCATCTCCCCAACTGTGCTACAGTCCACATGAACTTTGTGACAGGTCTCAGCCACACTTCACTAGCTTCTGCTGCCATTCAGCTGTCAGACAGCAACCCTTTACCATGCCCCTAACATGCTCTACAGCTTCACCCAATTAACTCGCTTTCGCTTGACATTGCAGCAAAAAGCTTCATAATAGGTGGTCAAGGTGCACGGTGTCTGCTTTGCCCTCTAACAGCTCATGCACAGCAAAATGCTAAGCTACCTTGCTTTGTGTCTGTTTGCGATGAACTGCTGCACTACAATTTAGGCATTTTGCTGTTAAGTGGGACAAGGACAGCAGATCTTTGCCAGTGGCACGTTTACATACCTTTTACCAAGACTACTTTTAATGCCAAATCCTAGTACTAATAATCGTAAACATTTTGGCAAGAAATGAAATTACGCTGATTCAGTGAAATACTTCAATCATTTTACAATTAACAAAAATATACTGTATCAGCAATTTGATTCAGGGGGAATGAGGGGAAAAAGTAATTTTTTCCAATAATTTAACAACATAAAGGAGGGAAGTCTAGAAACAACACAAGTGTCTTTATGATTCAGCTTTCTTGTATTAAAAAATCTTTACACATTCAGAAGATGAATTTTTGCCATCCATTTCTGCCAAATATGCAATTTTTGAGGAATAATATTCAGAAATATGAATCTATGTAGCTAAAAAAACAAATGAACTATTAAAAAATGGAAATCAACATTTTAAGATTCTCCTGATAGCTTATATAGAAACAAGAACATGAAACTCTCTGTTACTTTGCAGACAGGTGCCTTGAGAATACTCCAATTTGCCCACTACTTCTCTCAAGTATATTTGTATTAAATCCATAGAGTTCATCAGAAAAGATCCTTAAAAATTTAGTATGTAGGTAATATGTACTGATGAAGCTCAAGCAATCTTTGCCAAAGAGAGTGGAACAGTCTGAATTGAACACTGGTTTCTGGACACTGAAATTAGGAGAGCCACTATAGCAAATGCCTTCTGGTGGCCTTATGGGTTTCAACTACACAATTCCAACGAGGCAGGACACAAAAGACTATCCACAAAGCTCTTTTAGATTCTGTTTTGCTGCTCAGATAGGTTACATAATCTATTTGCTTTCGCAGCGTATTTATCTATGGGGACAAGTTCCCTTGGCAGTTCTCTTCAAAAATCTTTCAAAGGCCATTTTTTTCCACAGAAGAAATCTGATTTGCACAAAGAGAAGCAGACATTCAGGCTGTAAAAAGTGAAAGCTCAAGAGAAGCCCAAAGCACGACGAAAGGAAAACAAAAAGG